CATCTCTGGACCACCTGTATCAGAATCGCCTGGAGTATTTATTAAAAATGCAAAATCCTGGATCCCACCTCACACTTACTAAATCAAGGGTTGGGACATTTTTAGCAAGTTTCCAAATGATAGTTTTGCTCACTGAGAACCACTGCTCTGAAACTTTGAATGGTTCATTTTGAAAAGGCAAGGTTAGTTCTCCAGGGGTTATTTATTTTTTACTACGTCTCTGTTTCCAGGATGTTACCTCATTGATCCTATGAAACTAGGTGCTCTTCAGAATATGATATATTATGACAGATTAAATTTCAAGAGAAAGTTGGTAAATGTAGTACTACAGTTGGTATAAGGTCTGGTGAATACAGTGGATGACAGAGAGTTTCCAAGTCCAGCTTCTGAAGTTTGAACAGCATTGTTTATGTGACGTGTGGTCGAGCATTGCCTTGCAAGAAGATTGGCCTGTCTCTCTCAATTAATCTTGGCAGCTTAATTGCATTCATCCTCATCATTTCATCCAATTGGTTGCAGTAGACATCTGCTGTAATTGATTGACCAGGATTCATGTAGCTGTATGGATAATACCAGTGCTGGACTACCAAACAGACACCATTAGCTTTTTCTGATGAATATTCAGTTTTAGACTATGTTTCAGCACTTCATCGTTATCCAACCATTGTCAAAAAGAATCCATTTTTCATCACACGTAACAATATGGTGTAGAAATGGTTCACATTTATGTTGTTGACAGCAAAGAAAGGCAAGCTTCCAGACAACTTATCTTCTGACGCTCATTTAATTCACATGATACACATCTATCCAACTTCTTTACCTTGCTAATTAGTTTCAAATGGTCCAATATTGTTGGAATAGTAATGTCAAACCTTGCTGCTAATTCATGGGTAGGTTGAGATGGACTCACTTTCACTAGAGCTTTTAGCTCATCATTTTCCACCTTGGTCTCAGGTTGCCCACTTGGCTGATTTTCAAGATAAAAATCACCAGAACAGAACTTCTGAAACCATCAATGTACTGTGCGTTCATTAGCCTTATTCTTCCTGAACACTTTGTTGATACATCAAACTGTCCACTGCATTGGTTTCATGACGGAACTCATATTTTAAAATAACATGAATTTTTACTTATCCATGGTTTTAAAAAAGTTGCTCTAAAAAAATTTGAAAGATAATCACAAGCCAGAACGTGCCTTTGAAAGATTCAGGATAATACCCACTGGGTGCCATTCAGGTAGGGGGAGTGGGAGGGTGGGGGGTAGAGCAGGTGGGGTGGGTAAACCCACAGCTAATGGAGATGGGGAGCACTGTATAGGGGAAAGGTCATACTTGTGGCCCTGGCTTGAGCAGGGCAAATTCTTTTCTTTTTTTTTTTTTTAAGTTTTTGCAATTTTTATTCCAATTACATACAAATAAAAGCAATGGCTTCTTCAATGCTGAAATTTCTGTTACTATTTCCAACATATCACAAAACATCTTTTGTTGACATCCTACAAATGTTACCATTCAATAAAGTCCCAATACATTCTTCTTGTGAAGAGAGTTTATATATCTTTTTGACTTCTGTAATATTTGTTATTTCAGGAAGATTTCTCAGAGAAACCTGAGGACCTTCCACTTGAGATATCAGAGATTCTTGATTTATTCGTTTTTCTCCCTCTTCAATGTAAACAATTAGAACTGAGGTGTCATTGGCTGAGATACCAATTTTTTTCAAAGCCTCAGAAATATTGTTATTTGGGGAAAGGTTGAAAATAATTTCAGTAGATAGAGTCTTCATTTTTCCTGGTTTGTAGAGGTCAACTGCTTTGTTTGCTGCCACAAGTATCTGAAACGGATCAACAATCACTACTGGATTTATCAACGAACAATCAATGGTGCCTTCCATGGCCTTTTTCCTCAAGTCTCCTGCATTTTTTACATCTTTAAATAACAGGAGGGTCATCCTGCCTTCAGGAAATAGGTCCAGCTGATGTGTTAACTGCATTTCAGAGAGAAGCAGGATTCTGTAGTCCCAGCTACTTGGGAGGCTGAGGCAGGAAAATCACTTGAGCCCAGGAGTTTGAGGTTGCAGTGACCTGTGAGCATGCCTCTGCCTCTGCACTTCTATACTCCAGCCTGGATGACAGAGTTAAACCATGAGGGGAGGGAGGGAGGCAGGAAAGGAAAAGAAAGGAAAGGAAAAAGGAAAAGATGAGGGCACTTGGGCTTTTCCACAGCCTTGGCGATTATGAATTGTGCTGCTATAAACATTCGAGTGCAGGTGTCTTTTTTGTAGAGTGTCATTGGATCATTTGGTAGATGCCAGCAATGGGATGCTGGATCAAATGGTAGATTCACTTGTATCGCTTTAAGGTATCTCCATATTGCTTTCCACAGAGGTTGAACTAGTTTGCAGTCCCACCAGCAGTGTAGGAGTGTTCTCTCTCTCCGCAACCATGCCAGCATTTATTGTTTGGAGATTTTTTGATAAAGGCCATTCTCACGTGGGTTAAGTGATATCTCATTGTGGTTTTGATTTGCATTTCCCTGATGATTAGAGATGTTGAGCATTTTTCATATGTTTGTTGGCCATGCTTCTGTCTTCTTTAGAAAAATTTCTCTGTTCAAGTCCTTTGCCCACTTTTTTAATGGGGTTATTGATTTTTTTCTTCCTGATTTCTGTGAGTTCTAAGTATATTCTAGTTATCAATCCCTTATCGATGCATAGGATGCAAAAATTTCCCCATTCTGTAGGTTGTCTGTTTACTTTCATGACATATTCTTTGGCTGTGCAGAACTTTGTAGCTTTGATCATGTCCCATTTATTTATTTTTGTTGCTGCGTGGATGCCTTTGGGGACTTCTTCATAAACTCTTTGCCCAGGCCAATGTCTAGGAGAGTGTTTCCAACATTTCCTCTAGAATTCTAATAGTTTCATACCTTAGGTTTAAGTCTGGTTATCCAGCGTGAGTTGGTTTTGTTGAGAGGGAAGGGTGGTCC